TCCTTCCAAAGAGAAGATCCAAAACAGAGGGCCCGGCTCTGCACGGCAGACAGATCGCCCGCTTCAAAGTCAGGCTCAAGATTTGTCAACCTTTCTCAAGTTTTCAGGATGCGACACAACAGGGACGATGTCACTGGCCTCCTTTCTGGTTACAGATAAGAACGGCAAAGCATCTGGTGATAGGAACACATGGCTTGTGTGAGGCCACCCCTCGCTGTCTTCATAATCCACACACACCGAACTAAGACAGCAGCACCTGACCAAAACAGGACTCCCTTCTCTCACCTCTTCCTCTCCAGTCGGAGCAAGCTCAGTGCGTGGCTGGAGGCCTGACAGTGTATCTTTGAAAAGACCAGCCCATCCTTTGATTTATGACCAAGACCCACGCCGACTCCCACCTCCGGGTGTCTGAGACCGTCCACCTGACGGGATCCAGGGGCAGGCTGCCCTGCGGCTCGGCTCACGGCGAGCATATCCAGAGCGGGGCGAGTATCTCTGAAGGGGTGGGCGGAGGGAACTATACATCAATCAGCGCTCTCAGGCCTCCTGTCAGCCACTGACGATGCACAAAGGCACAGCCAGCCACTTTAAATCACGGCTCGCATCGCCTGAGCTCCCAGAAACGTGGCATACGCTAAATTATCCTGAAAAGACTATTTAAGAAAGAGATACAGGAAAAAGATCTAAAAGATATTTTCCACTTGCATATCTAGATTTCTGCTTTTTATGATTCTTACGTTCTTTTCCAAATTGATAGAATCCAGCACTTTGACCATTTTGTCCTAAAATTAAAACATCTATTTCAAAACTGCAAAATTTCATGATCTCTTTTCTCCTAGTCTATATTCTTATGAAAGACAAAAAACCAAAATTCCGACATCTATTCTTATAAACCTTTTCGTAAAGCTTTAGATAAAGGCGTAGAATACAGCCCCACTGTTTCCACACTTCCTGGCTGCATCACGCCCATCGCACCTGGATAAATTCTCTTGCAAGGGAACAGAAGGGGCATTCTTTGTCTCCAGCTTGTGCCACATGCCTGGAAGAGTAGAAAGGTTTCCGCCCAGCAGAGGCTCCGCGGCGCCCCTCCAACCCCACCAGCAATTCAAGACACCGCGAGGGAGGGCCTGGGTTCTCGCTCGTTTACACAACCGGCCCATCGTGTGACCTTATTCACGTCATTAGGCCTGGGAGTCGCAATATGTCTGCTTTATAGATGAGAAAGAATCTTTCACTTTCCCACTCTCCCAACAGGGTGGAGGTCAAATGAAACAATGGCTGTCACACCAGCGTGTGAGCGAGCCTCCGACACCTCAAGTCCTGCCATCCCAGGCATCCTTCTTCCCTTCCTGCTTCCTTCCTTCAGAAAGCAAGGGCCTCCCATCTGAACTAAACTGTCCCAGGTATTATGAAGAACAACAGGATAACTCAGAAGTTCCCTTGAGATGCTTAGAATTTTACAGGAAACTATACTTCTATAAATGGTAGGTGATAGGAAAGAAACACAGATAACATGCTCTGAGGGCCACAAGGAGGAAAGATCACCACCTGCGTGGGCGGTCCAGGAAAACCTCATGGAGGAAGGCGTCTGTGAGCAGGCCCCTGGAATCCGGACAAAACGTGGACATTTGTGGGTGATGGTGAAGAAAGGCCTGTCAGTGAAAGGGCCGACAGTCACAAAAGCACGGAGAAGGAAACGCAGGGAGCATCCGCAGGAAGGACCAAGCTGTGCTGCCCGAAATCCAGGACTCCCCGAGGGGGGAGGAGGAGATAAAGCTGGAAGGGCAGACTGGGGCCAGACCGCGGAGGGTCCTGCAGTCAGTCTGAGTCTGGACTCCAATGCCACCCTGCCCATGACCCCCACGCAGCCAGGCCCCGCCCGGATCAGCTCCGCCACACAGCCCAGTCCTGCTAACGCCTCCCATTCGCCAGCGAGGAGAGTCAGGTCTCCCGGATCACGCTCAGACTTGTCCTCCGTCACTCAGCTGGGTTCCTGAAGGTCTCCGGCCGGCACTCGTGTCCCACTGGAACCGATCCACTCTCCAGCCTGATGTCGAGGACCCAAAACGCAACCTGACCACGCTCCTGCCTGTTTGGACGCCTCCCTGACTCCCTGTCCCCACAGACGCCCTCCAACACCCTCCAGAGGACACAAGGGGTGTGGCGACCCCGGTCCTCCCCAGGCTCATCCCCTGCCTCTCAAGCCCCCTTCACTCCGGCCACACTGACCTCCCTGAGGCTCCTCAGGCCGCCCCTCACCCCTGTCCCTCTGCGCCTCTGAATCCACCGCTCCTGCCGGATGGACCTGACTCTGCCCCCTCTGCCTGGATCACACCTCCCCTTCTCTAGGATCACCATCAACAGCGCTCCGGAAGTGCTGGCAATGCAATTAGATCAAAGGAAACAGAAAAGGTTCAAATATTGGACAAAGGAAGGAAAATCAGCATTTGTACATATGACTATATATCTAGAAAACACAAAAGGATCAACCAAAAAAGAGTGAAACAATTGTAGAATTCAGTAAAAGAGTGGTTACAAAATTTATATACAAAAGCCAGTAATTTGTCTTTATACAAATGGTCACCAGTTAGAAAAAGTAATGTCAGAAAGTATTCCTTTCTCGGCGCATAAGACAAAATATCTAAGAAAAAATTTATCAGGACTTGCAAAGGATCTATGTAAAGAAAACTTTAAAATTTTGAAAGACAAATCTTGCTTCCAGATAGCAAGATCCATTGCGGTCAAACGCCTCAAAGGCCTGGATCTTTCTCTGCTTTGTTCACTGACACATTTCAGGGACCAAGAACACTGCCTGGGACGCAGCAAGCACTCAATAAATACCCACTGAGGGAATAAATGCCTAAAGCAACCTAAACATCCAGTGTGATCAATCAAAATAGAGATAGGACTTACATTTGTACTCTGGGGGGACCGACAGAGAGATGAATCTTCCACTTGAAAAACACACACACGTAAGAGCATCTTTTACCCAGCAGATGAGCAAACAGTCAAGTACTCAGGGTTACTGGGGACATGAAGAACTGGAATACTCAACATGTTACTGGTGGAACCATAGACTGGTATTGTGGGGTTTTTTTTGTTTTTGTTTTTGTTTTGGGGAAGATTAGCCCTGAGCTAACATCTGCTGCCAATCCTCCTTTTTTTGCTGAGGAAGACTGGCCCTGAGCTAACATCCATGCCCATCTTCCTCTACTTTATATGTGGGACGCCTACCACAGCATGGCTTTTGCCAAACGGTGCCATGGCCGCACCCGGTATCCAAACCAGCGAACCCCGGGCCACCAAGAAGCAGAATGTGCGAACTTAACCGCTGTGCCACCGGGCCGGCACCTGGTATTGTGTTTTGAAAGGGCAATTTGTTAATATCTATCAACATTCAAAACGTGTATGTTCTTTAAGCAATTTCTCAGCTGGAATTAATTTTACAGACATTCACACATTTACATGTAAACATATATCAAAGGAAGTCCCTTGTATTACTGTTTAAAAACAGAAAAAAAAAGCGATCTGACCCCGTCAGTAATAGATCTGTTACGTAAGATACACCCAAACACTGGAGCACCAGTCACCCCAAAAATTGCAGGAAACCCTCAGAGGATGAAATGGAAGTAAGTCCACGATCCGTGTCAAAGTCCAGAGGCGAGGTGCAGGACAGCAGGTGAGGCACGATCCCGTTCGTGTTCTAAAAATACATGGCTATGCTTACATACGAACACAAACACTCTGGAAGGTCACCTTCAGTCATGGATTCAAGGGAGGGGATGGACAGAAGGAACCTTTACCTTGAGCAAAACAGAACAGTGTCTGTTGTTTTGTTTGTGCCATAAGCATACATTTACTTCCTCCGAAGCGGGCACCCCCTCTTCAGGAAGTGCCCCGAACCCTCCCAGGGAGGAGGCAGCCTCCCCCGTGCTCCCACGGCACCCGGACCCCACCCTGTCACAGGACTTCCCATACAATGGCCTCACTCGCTGGCTTCCCAAGTTAGCGGAGAGTTCCTTGGAGGGCCAGGACTGGCCTCTTGTCGTGCATTCTCCGCACCTGGAGCGCCTGACACACGGTACCCACGTAGTGAAGGCGGAGGGAGGGAGGAAGGGAGGGCGGGTGAGTCCTAGAGGAAGAGGAACCGGGCGGCAGTACACGGCACTACTGAGAGAAGGCAGAGTCAAGAGACGAGCAGGGCTGGCCAGAAAGAGCGCGACAGCGGAAAGAAGAGGAGGGAAGTCTCATTCCCTCACATAAAGCCCTCGAGGTCGGTGAGCTGGACGGCCAGGCACGCTCCAGAGCAGCTAGGGAGCGATAACCGCCAGCCCCAGAGTTCCAGGCATTTTCACCGGGAGAGGAGGTGTGGCCACTGCCACGGTGCCAGCACTGCCACAGGTGCCCGTGACTCCTTCAAGAAGGAAGAAGGCCTGAGAGCAGCCCCTGACCACCCCGTCTCTCTGCCGGAAACACCCAGGGGCCTCAGCCACTGTCCTAAGCAAGTGACCGTGGCAACCATATGCCTCTAGATCACTTCTGCTGCTAAGTGCCCCTGCGGGGTGCCAGAAACATTAACTGAACTCATCCATGTCAAGCACTCAGCATGTCCCCGGCAGACAGTAAGCACTTAAAATAGAAGCTGTTATTACTAAGTTGCTTACAGAACCTTCTCAAGAGTTCTAAGCACTATGCCTGCAAGCCATCAGCAAGTCTGATTTCCAAGAAGACCAAGGGCCCTCCATCTATCTCTGCAATAAACAAACACACTGTCCTCGTAAGCACGTTTAAAACAAGCTGGAGGCCGCTACTTCTGTTTTTCTCACTTTTGTCATCATTTCAAAATTAAGCTGGCCTTATCAGACCCCGAGCATAAAAGGCACACTCTCAGCTTAGAAAGCTAGAATTTAAATACCCTTTACAAGTTGAGTACAATTCCCCTTTCTCCCATTCTAACAGCTGGACCGCACCTGACCTGACAAGCACCAGAGTTCACTCACCACGGTCGGAGGGTCATTCCACTCTTCATAGGAGCTGGCGGCGTACGGGTAGATCCGGTCATTGATAATCTGCAGGGTGGCCAGCGCGATGGCTTTAATGGACTGGAAGTACGCTTCCCAGAACCACCGGGCCTGTAAGGAAAACAACGCTGTATTAAGCGAGCAAGCGAGACCGCGTGGAAACACGCTCTATCACAGCTCATGCTGGGTCTGGGTGATTCCTGAGTCTAGGCCCCAAAGAGCGGGGAGCCTAGGGCACACGCTCCCTGCTATTCAGCGTGGAAGGATATTTGTGCTGGGTAGAGAATTCTAGGTTAGCAATTTTTTTTTCCCAGCACATTCAAAATATAATTCCACTGCCTTCTGGCTTCACCAATTTTTTGCTAATAAATCAGCTGTCAGCCTTATTGCTGCTCCTGTGAAGACAACATGCCTTTTATTTCTGACTGCATTTAAGCTTTTCTCTGTCTTGGGCCTATGGCAGTTCAACGATGACGCCCCTGGGGTGGCTCTCTGTACTGGTCCCACTGAGGACCACACAGCTTCTTCAACCTGTGGTGTGATGTCTTTCCCTGGATTTCTAGGAAACTCTCAGCCAATAGTCTTTAAATATTGGTTCAGTCACACTCTCCTCTTCTTCTAGGACTCCAAACACAGATCTACGCCAACTGTTCTCACCGTGCCCCACGGCTCTCACTCTCTTTTCTGTGTTTTTCCTCTTTGTCCCTCGATCTGGGTGGACTGAAGGAAGGACCGATGCTCCTCCTGGAGCAATAAGCCTCTACCGCGTGTGTGTGCGTATGTGTGTGCACATGTGTGTGTGTGCGTGTGTGTGTGTCTAAACCACTATTAAGCCCATGTGTGGGATTCTTAATTTGATTTATTCAGTTCCAGAATTTCCATTTGATTTTTCTAAAAGTAGATTTCATATCTTTGTTGAAATTCTCCTTTTCTTCTGTTTTAGTGAACACAGTTCCTGACTGGTAACTCCAGGATCTGAGTACCAGTGGGTCTCCTTCTAAGGTCTGTTTTACTCTTCACTTGGTCATCTGGTTTCAGTTTCTAGCAGGCCTCTCAATCTTTTTCTGGATCCCAGACGTCCTGTATTAAAATGGCAGAGGTTCTGGGTGGTCCCGACCATTCTCCTCCTAAGAGTGGTGGGCACAGAGATGCAGCCAGACCACTTTAATCTCGTCAGAGGTTGGTTTTAAGCTTTGTTAGGGCCAACTTTCTTCAGCTTCCCTGACTGTGTGGCCTTCGGGGGTCTTTGATGAAAGCCTGGGGTATTTGCCAGGGCCCCTCCATCCCGCCGGCCTGGACACCAACCTGCATTTCCTCAGCACTGTGCACAACTGCTGAAATGGCTGTACTGCCTGTTAGGCTGCCAGCTGCTTCCTTCTGCAGGCTCCTTGGAGTCCTGCTCTGATCACGGGCACCCCAGGAGCGGGGAAACGCCTCGAGGGAAGACCGCGTGCCCGTTTTTCACTTACTTCCCTGTGGTTCCCTCTTTCCTGGGAGTCTGTCCTTCACAGCCCTGATACTTTGGGAGGCCCTAGCTCCGACCTCTCGGCCCCGTGGTTCTGCTGCCTTCTGCCAGGCCTCCACTCCCTGGACCTCAGATCAGAGAGCACCCTCAGGGGAAGCTGAGCGAATATGCACTCACTTCAGCAATTGTGTCCCCAGGTCCCCAGGGCACAGGCCGCTCTCCATTGCCTCTAACAAGCGTGTATCTGTCTTAATAAGCTTCCGTGGTTCTGTTTCTTCTTTGGACAGGAGGGTCACCCCAACATCAGCTACTCTGTCATAGTCTAAGGTTGTCTGAAGACAGTTTCTCATCCAAGCAGAGTTTAAACTCATCCCTAACAAAGCAGGATGTCGGGCTAGATGACCTTTCCAGCTTCAGTCAGATCCATGAGTCCACTCAAAATCAGAGGCTACTGGGATTTACGCAAAGGGGTGAACCTATGAAAATTTAACGCGAGAAGCTGGAAGCGTAACCCGAGAGGAGGAGGAGGACGCCTTGTCGTCTAGACTTGCCACTTCGGTTCTGCTTCCCGGGCAAATCCTCTGTTCAACAGTTCACGCCCAGGACGACTTGAGTCAGGTGACACTATCGTCTCCCCTAACGATGAGACAGCGAGGATTTCTCCTACTCAAAGAGAAACAGCAACAGATGTGGCTTCCAAGGGCACTGACTTCAGCGGTCCTGCAGTCCGCCATGTGGGTACAGCCCAGGCCTGCTGGCTGCCTGCTCCTGCCTCCGAGATACACCCCACTTACTCCAATCTCATTCCTGCTTCAAGCACGTTGCTGCTTTCCCTCCCGTCATCCAAATATTTACATTCCATGAGACCTGAGAGGATCTACGTCTCCGTGAAATCTTTACCGATCACCCCAAATATCAGCAGTCTCCCCTTACTGTGAAACCCCACAGCACCCACAGCCTTCACCGTATAGGCTAGTTCTGTTACACACTGTCCTATAATTGCTTTACTGTTATTTCACATGATCAGTTTTCTCTCTCCAGCTACACTGTGAGTTCCTTAGATGGAGAAACTCGGAACTTTGTGTTAGCATCCTCGCAGATGTTAGAATGTTTCACCTGTTGCAATGCAATTTTGTACCCATGATCTCATTTGCTCTTTATAACCAGCTTGTCACTCATTTGGGGCAGATACAAGTTTCATTTTATATGTGAGGAAACTGAGATACAAAGCTAGGAGGCAGCAGAGTCGCAACTCGAACCCGTGAACCCTAACTCCTAAATCCAGACCTTTCCCCACCCCATTCTAGAGCCCTGAATACCAGCACATGGTAAGTTTTAGGAAATGGTCCTTTTCTGAGTTGAAAGCTGTAAAAATTCACTAAGAAGCACGAGCCCACACATAAACACGCTCATCTTAAATGTTTACCTCCTTTTCTACCCAAATGGGTCCATCCTCCTGTGTTATTTCAAATCAGATTCCAATTAAACCACACTCGGACTTCAGCATTCCGAAGCTTTCTGTCCACGTCTGACCGCAGTGAGGACAGAGGCCTTTGGGATTTACAGGAACAAGGACTGCTAACAAATCCACCTAGATTACCAGCCAAAGGCACAAGCGTAGGACAGAGCTTCCAATTTAAGATGCCTCAAATCATCTCCCCCCGTCCAGCAAGTGGCAGTCCCCTCGGAAAGGAAGCGAGCTTTGCCAATAATCACAGCTCCCCGCTGAGGATGAGGGGACTTCTGCAGGACCTCTGTAACACCCTGAAGCGTCTGAAGGCAGGAGAGCTCACAGCCCCGTGACCCAGCGTCAGGCCCCTGTTGGCAGAGAGGAAGGTGTTCTCAGCTACGCTGGCGACGCACGCAAGCACCACTGCTCCCAGCCAACGAGCAAACGCAAACGCTCACTACGTTTCAAGGTTGGTTGGTGTGTTTCCTACAACATGGGCCACGCTTACCTGCAACTGACAAGTTTAAATGAGGATCTTCAGCAGCAGTGAAATTCCCCCGTCACTCCAAACTGGGGAAGCTACACGGGTGGAGAGTTAAGTCACACGGGAACCGGTCGTACCAATGCAACCTTGAACAATGCGCTCACCCTGTCTGCACTAAACAGACACCACCGTAATTTCATAAAAACCGCAGATCTCAAAGCACAAGGACTACAGGGTTCCTAGGACGCTTTCAAACATGAGAGTTATAAAGCCCCAACAGGCAAGGATTGGGCCAACTTAAAACTAGCATAAGCAAATGTACTTCAAATTGAAACTGCGACTTCAGTTTATACATCAATTAAATGCGACTGATTTCTTTGACTGTCAGTAACATAAAGCCAACAGGATTAGCAATAACAAGTGTTTAAAGGAAGCTAGTGCAGCATGGTAGACAGAGCCGGGCCTATGAGCGTCTGGAACACCTTCCAGTCACTTACCCTCTCTGTGCTTTCTGAACGTCAGGTGGAGACCACGCCCCCAGTGAGACGAGGCTGATGAAGCTCCTGGCTCAGCGCTGGCGCAGAACACACAGTCAGAAAATGGGAGGTCTCTCCTCGACACCTGCGCCCGCCCTGCCCCCGTAGGGTCTTTGTCACCTACATTAGAACACCCTCAACACTGCTTTGGGGTGGAAACAGAGTCAGGGGAAGAGGCGAGACAGACGGGACCTCAGTGTTACACTCCACTCATCTCAATGCGTGAAGACAGTAAGGAGATCCAACCGGTCAGAGAACGGAGTTAGAAATAACGAAAACACATCAAACGGGAGTGTGACAGAACCTTACACTGAAGAGCACAGCAACCAATACCGTGTCCCTTCTCCCTTCACCTCTAAGACTCAGGGAAGAGGACGGCACTTCTCCGGAAACCGTGACAGTGGGAATACATCCGGTTTTGCTTGCCACTGATCTCCAGCCTCTAGCGCGGGGCCTGTCAGAGGGCAGGCAGGCAAACGTCGCTGGAAGAATGACTCCCCCCAACAATACCCCCTCAGACTCACAGGCATCTCACGGAACCTTCCAAATCTTCTAAATACCAACCCGCCAGGTTAAAGGGGGAAAACCATCATTTAATAATCACGATCACATCTTGTATGCAGGATTTTAAAAGGTGAAAGATGGGGGAAGTGCACTTGAGGGAGAAGAAGGAGAATCTGTTCCTGGGTGGAGCAGCAAGGCAGAAATGGGACCACAGTGTCCCTTACATCGTGCACATACAGACTACGAGAGAAATAAACAGTTTTTAAAAATATGCTGTGTAAGTCTGCTACCTAGAAGTGGTCAGGATGCCTAAGAGAGCAAAGATTACACATAAGAACCCCAACTACCCCACAGCAGTCCAAGAGCATCTGCACCCCAGGTCACAGGGACAGCCCTCCAGTGCCCTTTAACCCATCAGAACCTCCTGAATGCGACCCGGGTCAATGGCTTCATTGTAGTATATTAAAGGATCTTTCTAACAAAACCCGCAAAATAAAACAAAACGATAAACCAGCCAGCTATGCTTCTGTCCCGAATTCCCAGTGGTAATGCCATGTCGACACCTGACAGCAACATGTGACTGCGGATCAGCACTTGCGCGAATACTGCTCTCTCTCCCCGGCCCCAGCCACAGGCTGCTCACAACAGAAAGGATCTGCTTCCGCTCAGGAC